GGAAGCTTTGGTGTTTCATCTGTGGTTATTGGCCCAGGACTTCTGTAGAGACCCAATTCAGTGTTAAAGAGACTAAAAGTCTGATGGAAAGTTTGGTGGGATGCTAATGGACTAGCCTTAAATCAGCTACTGCCACTGAGCAATAGACTCTTCTGTTTTATAAATACTCTAATACTCTGTTTTGCTTATCCATTTCTGCATGAATAACTACCCCAACACTTACTAGCTTAAAACAACAGCCATTTTATTTGTTCAGAATTCTGTGGGTCAGAATTTCAGATTTAGAATGTTGGGATGGCTTGTCTCTGCTCTGTGATGTCTGTGGCCTCAGCTGGGTTGGCTTGAGTGACTGGGGACCAGCTGGAATGGCTTGACCTGAATCATATGTCTGGAGCTCAGTTACGGCTGTTGGTTGGGTTCCTCAGTTTCCCTTCCTGTGGCCTGCCTATGAGGCTAGCTTAGACTTCTTCACACCATGGTAGTCTCAGGGTAAATGGACTTCCTACATGGTAGCTGGCTTTCTAGAGAGAGCATTCTAAGAGGATAAGCTCTGATGTGTAAGCATTTGTTAAACCTCTGCTTTGTTGAGCTTGCTGGTGTTCCAACGGCCAAGGCCAAAATAAATGTGGGAGAAACTACAGAAAGGCTAAGTCCTGTGGGGTATGGATTCATTGGAGCCACCAATATCCACTGCCTACTCAGAAAATAATGTCATTATTTAGTATTTATTTTCTATTGTGAAAGGTTAAATAGGTCTATATGTAACTATGGTGCAGTATTTCTTAATGTCCACAAAAGATATTTTTGGAATTGTTATTTTTCTCCCCAAAGAAATGGTATAGTGTATTATTTGACACAATGTAACACATGTAAATCTCCATGCTACATATAGTCTGTGTTAAATAATTGATTTAAGACCATCTGCAAAGAAAACAACAATATCCAACCCCTAGTGCCTATCTTAGGCTGGCTTTTTCCTTGCAGTTATTGGCATTTCTACAAATTGATTCCAGCTTAAGAGCTCATACCTTAATTATTTTGACTTTTCAATAGTTCCTGCATTTAGACTTGTTATCTTTAACTTGTTATGAGTTTTAAAAAATTATGTGATAGTTTCTTCAATTCTGATGTTTCCGTATGTCAGGTGCTATGTGTCAGTGGGAGTAAGATCTGAGTACCAGGAGGGACTGGCTAATCTTTCTAGATTTTACCTGACTCATCTCTTAAGCAAGTGGATTCAGTCAGTTGATTGCTGTGTTTTCTTTTCATTTTTTGATTCTTCAGTTTTTTAATTTAAACTTATGCATGATGCCTAATTAACTATTAGAGAAATATAAAGTGTGCATTTGGGAAATACTAAAACAATCTGATATTTCTTTAAGGAAAAATGTACTTAGGTGTTCTTGATATTAAAGCTTTTAGTCACTTGGCTTAGAGATGTTTTCCCCAGGAGCCTCTTATCTGCGTATGTTAATATTTTACTTTGTTGTGAAAAAAAAATCTGAGAGGTAAAAGAAATGAAGAGGCTAAAACAACATGGCAAATTTTCATCATGGAAGCTCATTACTGGAGCCTAACGCTCCTGTAGGAAGAGATTTGATTCAGCATCTGAAAGATAGTTTGCTAAACATAGGTAGCAGTAAGTCTGCAAAATTTTGTGAAATACTTTTTCGTATTTGTCGTACTTTTAAGTTTTTATTCAGCTGTCCTTCCTGGACAAAGTTCTCTACAGTTATATAAAATGAAAGTCTGTTCACAAGCATTTGGGAGTGACATGAGGAGGCTCTTATTTTTCCATTAGCTGTCATCTATTCTTATGGGAGTATTAAAAATTAGTAATATGGGGAACATACAAATACAAAGAACTCACCTGAAGCTTCTAAAGCAGTAAGTTCTCAAACTTGGTTGTACATTGTAATTATTTGGAAATCTTTTAAATATACGGATGCTTGAGTTCCAACCTTCAAAAAACTTGATTGAATTAATATAAAATGTGGCCTGGACATTAGAAGTTTTTAATCTCCCCAGATGATCCTGAGGTGTGGCTGAGTTTGAGAACCCTTGTGCTACAATATCTTTCTCAGTTCCCTTTCTTTTACCCACCTTTTCCCACCATAATTTGAGTCCTTGCTCCCCTTTCAGCTTCGTGATCTTTCCCCCCAACATAACAATTGCTAAATTCCTTAATAATGAATTTTTCTGAAGTTTAGTTTCCAATTTCACACATCATTAACAGGGTAGATACATGAAAACATTAATGGAAAAATGAGCATTTAGTAAAGGCATGCATTTGACTGGATTGAAAAATATTAAATGGATTTATTCACTCAGCTGTGTTATTATGGTACTCTTGGAAAATATGTCGACATAAATATTCCAAAATAATACTTGATACCTCTCTGGATTAGCCAACTATTTCCTTAATTGGGTTTTGGGTAATGGAATAACTGCTATTTTCTCACAGTGGTTCTGTAATGGAAACAATAGAATTTATTACCATCTCCTTTATGTGGATTGGGTGTGTGTTGGTCCAAACCAAATACAAATGAAAGCTTCTTTGGTTGGCAACTCGCCTGAATCTACAAGCATTAGCATTAATCAGTTTTGTAATGGGGATTTCGAAAGATTTAGGGGCTTAATTAGATATGGGAGAGAGATTGTTCTATATTGCCTTGAGCCTAAACTCATGCAATTGTTTCTTTATTTAGGAAAATGGTTTAGTTTCTCTCTACTTGTCTGAAAAAGTCATGTTGAAACCCTAGTCCCCAAAGGTGATGGTTTTAGGAGGTTCTTTGGGAGGTGCTTGGTTCACGAGGGTGGAGCTCTTATTAATGGGATGAACGCTCTTACAAAAGGGACTCCACAGAGCTCCCTAGCCCCTTCCATCATGCAAGGATGCAGGCTATCAACCAGGCAGCGGGCCCTCACCACAATGGTGCTTTGGTCTTGGACTTCCCAGTCTCCAGAAATGAGAGGAATACATGTGTGTTGTTTATAAGCCACCCAGTCCATGGTATTCTGTTCTAGCAGCTCGAAAGGACTAAGATAAGAGCAATTCTTTATCAATAGGGTGACCAATCATTCTAGTTTGCCTGGGACTGAGGGGTCTCCTGGACAAACTGGGATGAATTGATCACCTTAATTGATAACAGTGAAAATTAACACTTTAAGGATAATTTAGCTCCTTGAAAGAAAAATTATTTTTATGTTTTGATTTATTATCACCAAATCCTCTATAAGTTATGATGGTAAATGGAAGGTTAGAGATTATTTTCTGGGTCTAGTATTAAACTTTCCCATCAGCATGTCATATTCTTTTTTACAAGAATATTTTCAAAAGATTTTGCTAGCAATGCTCCCACTTCACCTTGAGAAAATATGTTTATTTTATGTCTAGTTTCTAGATTTCAAGAAAGATAGTAATGTCTAAAATTGAGTAAATTGATGCTAAAGGAAAGAAAAAATTTATTTTTAAATCTGCTTTGAGACTGCAGTACCCTGTTAACACAAAGAAGCTCTCCTAGTAAAAAGAAATGGAAAAAGAACTAATAAACTCTAATATTCATTGTTCTTCCTCGCCTCCCCCCACCCACCCCAAGCAAAAGTTTGCACAGACAAGTACTGCACAAAGAATACTCATTGGAGATGTTAGTAAATTGTTTTTTTTGTGTGTGTGAAATGCTTGGAAGTGTTCACATAGTAAAGGTAAATTTGTAATTTTATCCCAGCGAATTAATGTAGTTCACTTAAACCAATAATACAGTTTTACAATGGTATAATTATCCTGGGTTCCTGTTGCCTAATTTCAGATTACTAGGGGATGGTTTTCTGTTCTTTGAGCACTGAGAATGAAAACAACAATCATTGCCTTAAAAGGAAGACTAATCCAGTTTGAAGACATGTCCAGTTCAGAAGGTATCAAAAGCAGTCCTTTCCAAAAGAGTATTCAAACAGAGACAAAACATATTTGGGACATTGCCAACATGTTAGATGACACTAGAACCCAGTGACACCACTTTTAGTTCAACAGCTTAAGTGGAGTCAAGAGGCCCAGATCTAGACCTACCTGTAATCCAGTGAGTGTTTGGGTCAACACATTTATTGCTCTGGGCCTCAGTGCATTCGTCTGTGAAGTGGGAGAGTTTGCCTAGCCTGTGCCGATGGCCCCTTAAATTGTTAATATCCCATGATTCCATGTACAACTTTCTGATGATGTCTCAGTGAACACGTGGGTTTCTGTCTTCCTTTTCTCCAGCATTGCTCCCCTGTACCAGCCTTGGAACAACAGCTCACACTGCTGCAATTTGAGGAAAAGGCTTCTTTTTCAGAGGACAGAGGTGCACAGTCTCTGTGGTTTAGCCCTAAGCACATCTCAACATAATACTCTGGGTCCTAATGTTTGTAATTTGAATCTTGGACAGGTCACTTCCCCTTTTAGGGTCTTTGTATCTACCTGTAATGAGGATTTTTTTTCTGAATTTCCTTTTCTTTTTGAAAAATTTTTATTTTTATCTTATTTTATTATTTTTTTGATTTATGATGTGTTAGCTTCTGGTGCACAGCATAGTGATTCAGTCATACATATATTGTACATATTCTTTTTCACTACAGGTTACTGCAAGCCATTGAATACAGTTCTCTGTGCTTTAATTCTCTTTTAGGCCTTTAAGGTTATGTGTCTATATATGTATGTATGTATGTATCTGTGAGATAGAATAGCTTTTGGTTGCCTCACATTCTCAATGAGGCCTTTCTGGGTGTTCCATTCTCTGTCCCCACCCCTCTTTCCTGCTGGCAGAAGTCTAGAGAGCCTTATAAGCCACGTCTCGTCCCTAGGTTGTATGTCTGCAGGTGACAGTTCCGCCCAGTACTGGGTCGCTGGGAACATGTTCAAAGCATTCCGGCCCCTCTGGCTGTTTCATGGGCAGTGCTCTGAGACTCCGTCATTACGATGAGACCTTGAGGCCTTGTCTCACCTTACAATGTAAAAAAAGACATGATGCCGTTGGTGTGGAGTTTTATTGGCCATGAAACAGATGCACAACGATGGGAGCCTGATGACTGTAGTGCGAATGTGGAGCGTTAAGCTCATGAGCTCACACTTTGAAAAAGCGCATAAGATCGTTATGGAACATCTGGTGAGAATGTAACAGAGAGAAAAAAGCTTCTGAGGTTCATAACTCCATGGACACCTCTTAGAATTCACCCGTTTGTGTGTGGGCAAGGGCGTTCCATTGGGGGGGAATCGTTTTTGCAGCAGGCAACTTTTATAGACCTCACGCATACTTTTAGATCTCATTCACTTGAGAAAGAATTATTCTTCCATTGACGCTCTCCTGGGTGATGGCCTTGATCTTTGGAGCTGCAGATGCTGAGGGAAAGAGCAACAAAGAGGTCATTGCCCATCCTCCCCACCATCGGAACTGTCCTCTTTTTCAGTTCCCTGTTCTCAGCGCCTGAGGGCTATCTGTGCCTTCCAAAATGATCACTAAGCAGTGTGGCAGGCTCTGCTGGAGTGAAGGGCGTCTTACAGAGGAAGAGTCTTCCTCTCACCCTCCAGGAAATAAGGGTGTCTGAACAGTGTCACCTTCTAGAGGTCAAGACCTTCATCTCAGGTGTGCCTGAAACAGAATCTAACCTGGCCACAAGTGCCAGTGGGGTCCTTTCTGCTCAGGTGGGCTTTGTAGCATTCGCACCATAGATTCTGTGAGCTTACAGAGCACTAGGTGCCACTCTGGGGACCTCATTTTAAGGTCTAGAAAGCAAGTCATATGAAGGATGGCTGAGAAGGGTGAGAGGCCAGGGATATTTGTGATGGTCACTGTTTTTGAAGACATGATTTATTTGAGTAAAGTGTGCTTTGTTGACACATCAATAGACTGATTCTAAAGGGGAGGGTATAGCTCAGTGGTAGAGGGCATGCCTAGCATGCATGAAGTCCTGAGTTCAGTCTCCATTAAAAACAAACAAATAAATAAACTTAATTACCCCGCCTAAAAAATTCTAGACCGGAGGGAAGAATTGAAACCATTAATAGAAATACAGGGAGAACTTTGTTAAAATCAAACCTCTCCAACAGTAGGTTGAGCCACCCCCTCCAGTAATAGGTTCCCCGCCCCTGGACATGGGTAAGGAGAGGCTGAAGGGCCATCTGTCAGGATCTTGCAGACAGGGGGCAATGAAGGAGACCAGCTGTTCTGTGATGATGACTTGAACTCTGAGTCCCTAAATCTCTTAACACCTTTTTTTTTTAAACCGTCTACTAATCAGAAAGTGCCACCTGTCCCAGACTGATTTCTTAAAACTTTTCTGTAAGATGTTAAAGGCAATCTGAGCAAATAGGATTCCCAGGTCAAAGATACTTGGGAACCCTGGGCTAAACAAAGTAAGTTTTCTTGTGGCTTTTTGGTCTTTCTTGTTCCTTTTCTTCCCTACAGCAGTATTTGTCCCATCTTCAACACACTGAAACACAGCCTGATTCTTCACGAAGAGGCTAGTGGTACACAACATGCCCAGCCATATCAGGCCAGGAGCACACCTTTCATAATACTCAGTTAACGGTGTTCAACGGAATGTAGTCTGTGAAATCACTTCCTCTCGAGTCCCTAGGAGTTTGGTCAACAGACTCCATAACCTAATAGAGATATAATAATATCAATGATCATTTTAATCTACTTTACTGCTTGCAAAGAGCTTTCATATATATATTTTAGGAGAATATTGAAAGCTTACTTCTTTGTTCTGTATTATTTAATGTGTTAAGTTAATTCAAAACTCCTGGCCATTTGGGAGTAAAATAAAAATTGGACACAAGGCATTTAAGAGCACACGGAGGATTATGAGTACTACAGAGTGGGTAAATGTGCTGATTCATTAAGAAAAAAAAAAAGGAGATTCAAACAATGAAGTGTTTTTTTTTTTACCTTTCGCACTCAACTTAGAGTCCTTAGAGTCCATTGTCCTATAAAAGTGATAAAGGTTTAAAGCTCAGTTTAGGATTAGCAACAATCATAAATACTTCTCAAGATGATCTAACTTCCTCTGCCTGCTTGTAAACTTGTAGCTCTTTAATGAGGCTAGTTTACTGAGCTCTGTAGTCGCAAGGTCATGAGTTCATGGGACAGCCCTGCTGAAGGCAAAAGCCAGTGAGGCTGGCCTCCCGCTGAGCCTGGGCCAGGTGAAGCCTGCTGAACCCCCTCCATCCTTTTGGCCAGCTGCAGCCTCTGCCTCCACTGGGATCTCTTCCAGGGTCTGGGGCTGAAGCTTAGAACCCCTGGGCTTTTCAGACTGTTCAAAGTTTAGTCCAATAACATTTCATTTATGTATTTAAAAAAAAAACAACCTTCTAATAACCCTTTCTCTTGGGTCATAGAACATATGTGCCCTTGGTGTGGACAGCTATACCTAAAGTAGTCAGAGACACCAGACTGAAAAATCTAGACATTGCCATCTCTTAGGGATCTTTTCCTGCTGTTACAGTAAAACATTCCCCAACTGTTCTTTTTTTTTTTTTTTTGAGCCAAAATTATGTGCATTCCCACTGGAAATACTATAGCCAAGCCCTCTTGGTTGTTTCTTCCTAGAGATTTTAATATATTAGTTGAAACTATTGACCTCAGATCTTGGTGTCCTGGGAATAATGGCTGATTAATTCACACTGGCCACTTAATGGAATACAATCTGATCTAAATGTCTGCAGACAAAACTCAGCATAAACCTTTCTCTCTAGCACTGACGATGGCTTACAGAACATAAGGCACGTGAGTGCACCCATGGGAGGACGCCCCCTTCGCCCTCTTCCCCCGCCAGCCTCCGCCTTACCCCTCATTTTCTCCCTCCAGAAGCTGGCGGTAGGTGGCGATTTCTTTCTCTAGGTGGGTTTTGATGCCCAGGAGGACCTTGTATCCGTTGCTCTGGCACTCCAGGTCGTGGCGTAGCTGCATCAGCTCCTCCTCGTGGTGGGAGATGATCCGTTGCATGTCCTGGAGTTGGCGGGAGTACTGAGACTGGGTCTCCGATAACATGCTTTCCAAAGAAGATTTCTGAAAGAGGAATAATACTGCTTTCGTTCATTGCCCGATGGCATGATCGGTTCAATAGCCTGTGCTTGCTGAGTAGTTAGAATATGATGATTACTCTGCTGGGTGTCTTGGTGGTGCCGGGGATGCAGGGTGAGGAGCCAGGCAGTGAGGAGTCAAACTGCACCAGGGTTTTTTCTGGGCGCAAAGCGTTTGTGTCTGGCAGCTCCTGGCACCTCCACTGTCCTCCTGTGGTGTTTGTTATTTACGGTGCTTGTTTGGGAGTGAGTATGTGCCACCTTGCCTCGATCTGCTCCTTACCTCCTTATGCTTACATTTTGTCTCTGGCCGGACTAAAAACTCCTAGTGGGAAGCAGCAACTGGACTGCTATCTCTTTGTATCTTCAGAGAGGGGCCTCAGGTAAGGATGTCAGGTAAAATAGAGGGCTCCCAGTTAAATTCAAATTTCAGACGAGCAACGAGTAATTTTTTAGTATAAGTATGTTCCAAACATTGCCCTAATACTGCATGGAACATACTTATACTAAAAGAGAAAAACTTTGTTGTTTATCTGAAATTCAGATTGCACTGGGTGTCCTATATTTTAATTTGGTTAATCAGGCAACCCTAGTCCCAAGCGATGTTTTCTGATTATGACTATGATAACAAATTGTCATTTTTGAGGAGATTCTGAAAGCTGCAAAATGAAGCATACAAAGAACTGAGTTCCAGTCCTTGTTCTGTTTGGCTTTACTGCCTGCTTTTCTGGAACATATAACTTCAACCTTAAAGAGAATTTCAGAACTGTGCTGGACACTCACTCTATCACGGCTGCTAACTTTCGGGGGGCCCTTAATGCTGCCTGGCCATTCACCCACATGTTCCTGGTCTAGTCACTCTCCTGTTTCCCCAAAGGGCTATTTCATTCCTTCTCTCCTGTCCTCAAACCTCCCTCCTCCCCATCGTTTCTCTCAGCCCACGGCCTGGCTTCCTCTGTCGCTGAGGAGATGAGGGCCCTCAGGAGAGAACTCCCACAAGCTCCTGCCATCACTTCCACCCACATACCTGAATCTGTGTCTGACACTCATTCCTCTCTGTTACTACGCGTGAGCTGTCTGTGTTCTGGTCATTTCAGCAACGTCCCACCTTCTTGCAACATTAGTGTTTTCCTCTCTCCTAAATTAGTCCCACCAGCTTTCAGAGAGAATCATTTTTCCCACCTTAAAATTTGTTCTCTCTTGAACCCATGTCTACCTTCAGCGATCACCCAGTTTCTCTGCTCTCCTTTGCTTATAGCAAAGCTCCTCAAAGAGTCATCTATACCCGCTGTTTCAGATTCCTCCTGACCTCCCTCCAAGGGTCAAGGCTGCACAGTCCAGCTCCATTGTTACCCCAGGGCCTCCCCTTCCCTCCCCTCCTCTCCTCTCCTCTCCTTTCTTCTTCCCTTTTTCACCCACTGCAGCCACATTGACTTTCTGGCTGTTCCTCCAACCTGTCAGACACACCAGGGTCTCATAGCTTTTGCTGTTCCTCCACCTGGACCCCCACCTCCATAGCCACATAATGCACCACTTTAGTGCTTTTAGGGTTTTGCTCAACTGTCACCTTAAAGGTAAATCTCTAAAAGGGGGACCTGGAAAGATGGATGGATGTAAAGACTGATGACATTTAATATAATGAACCTGCCAGTACACCACGTGGCAATGTGGACACCTCGAAACACGATAGCCCTTATTGTCCTCAGCATGGGCAGTTTGGAGGGAGAGCGGGAGGTGAGAGATGTCCCAGTAGAGTTGCGGAGATGGGCCTGGGAGAGAGGTCAGGGAAGACTTTTGTGGAGGAGGTGGCACCTGACCCAGGATTTTCCAGGCTCAGACTCACCCTGTTGCACTGCGCCTGCAGGTCAATCTCCAGGGCCTGGAAAGTGCGCTTCAGCTCGTGGATGTCACTTTGGCTGCTCTGCACGGCTGTCGGATTGGCCACCTCCTGGGCCATGGCTGCCGACTGTAAGACCAAGCAAAGGGCAGAGGCTTTGGCATTGGGACCACTTGGAAATGGAACCTTTGTGAAGTTGGGGCACCCTTCTTTTACCTGCTCTTTATACCAAGTGTCCAAGTCTTGATGCTTCTTCTTTATTATAAGCTCGTATTCCTGCCTCATATCCTCCAGGACCTTAATCAGATCTTCTCCCGGGGTTGTATCCACCTTCACATTGACCTTGAAGTCATTTGGCACACGATGTTCCTCCATTTCCTGTTTAATAACAGACAGAAAACGAATCAGCTGTGATAATCAGAAGGCCGGAAGTGTACTGATTGGCAGAAGTTCACAGGTCTTTTAAGAATCCAGCTTATGTAGTTGGCGCTGTGGTTTCTCAGTTATTGTTTGTTCATGAGAAAATGTGCTTTTTTTCTCTTAGAACTTTATAAAGTAAAACTTGCACCAGACAGGTAATTAAATGGCCTCTGTGATCACTGACTTCATCCCTGGTTGAAAATGTTTTGTAAAGAGTTACACTTACACAACGTGTAAGGTTCTCTTCAGCAAACGTTCATGAGTGAAACGATGGCACAACTGAGCATTTCAGGTGACAGGCCAGAGCTTTGGGGAAGCAGTTCAGTAACCCAAAGCCCAAAGGGGTAGAGGCTTCCAAAATCTTGTTGACGCATTATGACTCTGTAGGGCTAACGCCCATAGGATATCATGAAAACCAAGAAACCACAGGAAAGGTTTAATTAACCATCATTGTCTAACCAGCTGTGCAGCAGCGGAGGCTCTTTGATGTTCATAAGCAGTTTTGTTTGCCTAGAATGGGGATTGTTTTTCTATCATTTCATCAGAGTCTCTGGGACTTTAGATGGATGGTAACTTTTAAAAAGTCAGTTAAATGCTTCTGGAAATCAGGATTCTTAACTTCTGCCACTAGGTATATTTACCTGGGTCATTGGCAGATTCTCTTTACCCTATTGTCCCCCGATTTGCTGCTCATGGGGTTAGTGAAGGAAGTTCAACTCCACACATCTATTCTTCCGGTAGCATATTAACAAACAGGTCTAGATAAACATCATATATTAACAAAGTTGTTGACTGATTTCATCGTGAATTGTGATTGTATTTTAGCTGTTGTATTTGACACCTGAGTAGATAACCCTGAACTTGGAAAAATGAGATATTTATATGGTTCCTTGTGACTATTTAGGTTGAAGACAATAGAACTGGAATTCAGATGGTGATTTCTTCTGTAGCTACTGCATCACCTGAAACGCACAGATTGAGAGCCATGCAGGTTACCAGGAGCTCCTGGGCGTCCTACCTGCTCATGACGCTTCTTCATAAGGATGAGCTCTTTCCTCATCCCCTCCACTTCCTGTTCCAAGTCTGTTGTGACGATGGTCAGGTCATCCAGGGTCTTCCGGAGACCCTCAACTTCAGTTTCCAAGTCTTTCTTGAAGGAGTGTTCATTTTCATACCTTTGAGTAGAAGGGAGAGAAGAGTACACCTGCTGTTGGAAGGCCATGGCCTTGTAAGGAGTCACCTTAGGTTAGAGGTGAATCTCTTACTTTTTACATTTAATAGGAGCAAATGAATACAGGCTGTGCACCCTTTGTATGTCTGTTTCATGCAGGTTTTTCTATGATGGTGACTCAATTTTTTTTTTTTAATTAGAGAGAATGAAATAATAAACAGCCATATACCCATCACTTAGAATTAGCAACCATTAACCATTATGCCATATTTGCTTCATCTATATTTTGTATTTTACAGTATATTATAGACATTATGACATTTTACCCCTAAGTACTTCCAAATGTATTTTTTAAGAAAAAGACAGTTTTCTAAATAAGCATGATAACATTATCACACGTAAAAAAATCAATAATAACTCTTTAATATCATCTAATTCTTGGTGCATATTCAAATTTCCCCATGCCAAAAAGTGTATTTTGCATCTGGTTTGTTTATACAAGGTCCAGTCAGGTATTAGTTCCTGTTATGCCTTTTAATTATATTTTGGTATGATTTTACACGTTGGTAATGGAGAGATAAGTTTTCCTTCTATAAAACAGAAACAAAAGCAGCAGTAACCCCCAAAACAAAATAGAACAAAACACCAAACAACCCCCCCCCCCCGCCTTCCCCAACACTGTGAAGCAGGAACCCACTTAAGGCTGAAGTCATCCACCGCCATCCTGGCGTTGTCAATGAGCAGGATGATCTGAGCGTTCATCATCTTGCCATCTGCTATCTGTAAAACAGGCACCAGGAGTCATTTCAGTTGTACAAACCGCACAGGAGCGCTGTATTGCTGCCCAGCTCCTGGGAAGCTGCCTTGTCAGCCTAGATGACGTCTTCTTCTAGCAATGGAATAACGAGTAATAAAATCCGTAAGTATTTATTGAGCATTTACTAGGTGCAAAGTGCAGGAATGATTTTACAGTAAGGATGTGGTCTGCAGTCAGTTTCACTGCCTTTTTTTTCTATGTTGACTTGACCGGTGAGGATGGATGCAGCTGCTCCAAGAGTGATATAAGGAGCAAGAGAGTGATTATTGAAACTGCCTTTAAATTTTCTAGTACAACGCACGCATGTATTAAGCTCATCCACATCTGAAGATGTTAAGTTTATGTTCTGACTTCCTATTGTGAATAGTAATTTGGCTCTCCTAAAGTGCAGTAGTTTTTAGATGAACATAATTCTTCCTTGTGGTAGCGTTCATGTTTCTGATCAGTGACACTGGGCAAAGTATCACTGATACAGAGCTTCATTAATGTTAGTTTGTCAAACTAATTTTAAATGTACTTTATAGTGCATTTAAACTAATTTTAAATGTATTTCCTAATAGTCATCACATACCATAATTTTTTTTTGTTGCCCCAAATGACCATAGCCACACATACAACGTGTGGGTGGGTGTGTATGTATTTGTAACTTATTCCATGATGAGAATGCCCCAATTGGAGCTTTTAAAATATTAACTGAAATAATTCTTTACCATCAAATGAAGTAGCTTAATAAACTTTAACTCTATTAAAGCTTTAACTGTCTCTGGTTAAAGACTTTCACTAGATGTTTATATAATTTTTTACTTTAAAAAGAGAATTTTTGTTGGAAGTGTCTACAGGAGCGATTGGGTATATAAATATATGATTTGTAAATACTTCCGGGTAGTTATAATCAGAGAAATACACATATGAGAGAAATAAGATATGAAATGCACATTCAATGTATGTCACTGCCTTGGGGAAAATTGGGTGCAAGATAATCTCAGTGTCAAAAGTGTAATACTACTTTTGTACCAAGTATCGTGCTGAACTAGGAACAGCGAGATTTTCCTTTTACTTCCTGTTAACTGACCATTGGCCTGAACTCAGGTCAGTCATTCCACTCCCTGGACTTCAGTTTCATCATCTGTTAAAAAAGGAGTTTGTCCTAGAAACAGATGACCTTAGAGGTACTAGCTCCAAACTTCTGTAGCTTAGTTGGAGCTAGAGAATCCTGTGACATTCCCATTATATTTAGGCAGTTAATTCATATATTTAGAAAGGATTTTTTTTTTTAGGACAGAATTATACCGCAATACAAAGGCACCTTTTAAAAATCTGGTCCTGTTCAAAGCTCCACTGATTACTCGGAATTTAGTGTCACAAGTACACAATAACAGTATTCAGAGGTGGTAAGGAGCTGGTCTGGAACTCACAGAGCAGGGCCTGGCGTCCTGTTCCAGTGCCCACCCGCTGAGTGAGCTTGGCTATGTCTCAGTTTCTTCATCCACAAAATGGCAATAGGAACAATAGCCACTTCACCGAAGAGTTATGAGAATTAGAGTAGAAGAGATTAAATAAAATAATGTAAAAATACTTAGCCTTTGTGGGCACACTGTAGGCACTCTGAAAAATCAGTCAAAACTAACTTAGTTCAGGAAAACATAAAGTGTTTAATTTTCTTTTTTAAAAGCTAGCACTTTTGTTATTAGAGCCAGTGTCTGCATTGGATACACCCTGAGATGCATCCTCACACGTCTGCTGTTCGTGGTGGGAGACAGCCAGGCTTGCTGCCCCTGCCGAACTTCTTCCTTGTCTTGGTGGATTCCAAATAGTACTGTGACTACTTTCTTTGCTCTAAAAAAGGATTCTGCAGGTATTTCCTTGTCTTCCCTCTACAGTGCTGCTTTGGGATTTCTTACCTTTCCATCCAGGCTCTTTATTCGTTCATTACCTGAGCTCATGGGGAATGAAAAGTAGCCTCATCCAAAATGGCCACGGGACCCCTGCAGTTAGTCTCAGTTGTGCATGGAGGTTTTGCTTGACATTCAGAGAAACCATACACTGTATGTTCCGTGGAATCAGGAAAAATTAAATAATCCCATCTGTGTTGGAAACACTGTTTCCACTAACAGGGGCCAAGTAAGCACTTGATATACAATATGTTTCTAGTTGGAAGACCATGGAATGAGCATTAAGAACATCATTTTCTATGTACTGATACAGGAAAATCTCCAAGGTATATTAAGTTGGAGGAAAAGGTGAGTTTAGTTCATAGAAGTATACTGATGTCACTTCCTTTGTTGTTGCAAATGTGTCATGGTGATGGAAGGTTTTACGGATGAGGGGAGCTGGGTGAGAGGCTTATGGAAAGTTTCTGTACCATGTAAATCTAACATTACTCCACATGAAAAGCTTATTTGAAATAATGATAAAGATGCAGAGCAGCGTGTATAGTTAAAAAAAAAATTATCGTCTTACTTACTTACTTGGCTTTTCTGAGGTAAATTGGTAATTTATGCACTGCAGAGTCCACAGTGAGGGGTCTGATTCCCCCAGGTAGCCTTCTCACAGTACATGAGTTGATATGGCTCATATTTAAAAACCGAAACTATTTCCCACTCTTTGGGTTACCTGATACAATATTATGCTACAAACACTACTTCTGAGACATCCTTCATGGTAATGAATGAGTAAGGATGGATTGAGAAATAATGTATAAGGCATAGGTCTTGCATTGTGTATTATAATTAATCACCTGGATTCTCCCCAAGGCCCTGAGTTCATTCTTTTAAAAGAAATCTATTTGGTGCATTAGTGCTGCATCATTGCTCCAGGGTGTGTAATCTCCTACTGGGGGGAGGGAAATAGAATTTTTGACCATAAACCAAATGTGCCAAATACAGTACTATTGAGAGCCATTCTAATATCCTGATATTTATATGACAATATCCAACTCTGTTTCAAAAGGAATGGATTAATTTTTGAACTCAATTTCTTATACACTTTTGGAGTAACATTTAATATCCCTAAAGTGGGGGCAGGAGAGTGCTGTGTCTACTCAGAACATTTCATGAGTCATGAAAGGCCCAGGAAGGGATCAGCCCTGGGCATTGTGGGACCTCTGTGGGCCCCTGTTTTCTCACCTGCAAACGGGGGAGGCTGGTTACACAGACAGCCTGAACTTCAGAGAGTTGTTTTCTTCAAACACAGACAAACAACCAGGTAAGAAATCCAGGAAAGAGTGGAATTCCGAGCTGAAGAATCTCCCTATGTAGTGTCAGAATGCAGAATCGGGGGCTGCCTTGAGAGTGGGCCAGCCACCCCTCCTCGTCATTGTCCCCACTCACTATTCTCAATTCTGTTCCAAAGAGTTTGGGCAACCACTTGGTCTCAGCCTCTGCATCTATAAATTGTGGATAAAACAATGCTTCACAGAATGAGATAATGGGTATGAAATATGTGTTGTATGATTAACAGTGCAAACGTAATGCATTATCTTTATTAATTAACAGCATCATTTTTGCAGGAGGGAGACTGGCTAACACACTATATGAAAATTATAGGGCCATTGGAAACAGGCCTGGGTTATAACCCCAGCTCAGCCTCTTACTGGTGGCTTTGGATGGCTTCTTCACTTCTCTGAGTTTCAATTTCTTTCTAGAGTTGTTGTGAGAGTTAAATCAGTTGATATAGAACATTTCCATCAGAAATGTTCGCGGACAGTGCTGATAAGTGGATTAAATACCCGTCACGATGCCTGGCATACAATAAGTACTCAATAAATATTTCCCTTCCTTTCCCTTCTTCACCCTACTGTCAGCTAATAAATTATGTGAATAGGTCTAACCTGACGTTTCTTTAGGGAGTTACGTTCTCAGCTGCCCATTTGCAAAAATCTTCTAGTCTCTCCATTCTAAAACCAAAACGACTTTATTAATAAAAACAGCGTGGTGAGGTTTGTTGAATCACTTTTTTTTTTGGTAAAGACAAACATGTACTATATAGTTAAGGTAATTACACAGTCAGTTATTAGGTTGATTATTCAATAATTAGGGTTCATTATAAGGACAGATTTCTATTATCTTGATTGGTCCTTCCTATATTCAAGCCTGGACAACTGAATGCTGAGAAATAATACCATATAAATACTGGAAACCTGTGATGCCCTTTCTAGGATACGTTAAGTAAGATCTTACAGGAAATTTTCTGAGACCACTTTACATAAGAGGGAATTTATGTAGCTTTAAAATATAACCTAAAAGGTGACTGGATTCCCTCTGCTTCTAACCAGTGTTTTGAAGGTGTAGTTTTTTTTTTTTGAATGTATGTCCCAGAAAGATTAGCTTTTTTAATGTTGAAAAGTTGTTTATTTTTTTGAAGAATTCTCCCTAATCCAGCCTAACTCTAAGATTCCAAAAATTATCCTCATTTTATAATGTATTTTCCTAGCAACACGCCATCTTCAGAACTGGGAGCAGCTAGAATTCAGAACTTCTAGCAGCTCCCAAGAGGCAATATCCAGGGATATCACAATGATGTATCTGCTAGTGGAGTGACAGCTTTTAGGTGTGATCTCCAAAATAGTACAATTCAGCCTTTCTTTGATGGCTGATCACTCTGTCGCCAGGACTTTGAGGTGGAGAGGAACTGATGTCATGAGAAAGTAAATGCTCCCTTGTGCCTTGTGCACTAAGCATGAGGCATAAAAATGCAGCCTGATCATTACAATCGTGTCGTTGGATTGTAAGTGATTCCGACAGCAGCTGGTTGCCTTACGTTGTTTAGACTTTCTATATAATTTATGTATAAAGATTATTATACCAAACATTATTGATATTATTATACCAAGTCCAAATTTAAGGTATGATATGAAAATGTCTTTGAATACCTTTGTTCATGATGACTTGAAGCTCTTTTGCCATTTTCCTGGAAATTGTCTTTGTACTGATTTCTCCTCCCACAAACCCCTAGAAACGCAGCCCCCTCTGAAGTTCCAGGATCAGCCGGGATCTTACCTGCTCCTGCAGGTGGCTGATGTTTTCCTCATATTGGGAGTAATCTTGCTTACTGCCCGGATCTCTCTGCTGATGCCACTTGAAGATGCAACTTTCGAGTTTCGTGTTGGCCTCCTCCAGGGCGCGTACCTTGTCCAGGTAGGAGGCCAGGCGGCTGTTGAGGTTCTGCATCATTTCCTTCCCATTTCCACCGAGGAGGGAACCACCTCTTCCAGACTCCCAGCACCCTCGAGGGGGCGGGCATCTTGGTGAGGAGAAGGAAAGGGAGATGCGGACACCTCCCGCACCACCATGGACGCTAGGAGCCCGGGGGAAGCTCTCTGGCCTGCCCCAGCCACCTCCTGGGCCATGGCGGGAGCCTGAGGGGGTCTGGCAGAAGCTGTGCCTGGAGTTCATGGTCCCATCTGGGTCTGGGCCAGGGCTGGGCTCTGGTCGGCTCCCTGGCACCGCAAAACTGAGCCGCCCCAGACTGCCCTGGATGGTTTTATGCCCTTTGCCGTGGGAGTTCCCTTCTCTGACAACTGTACCAACAAGATCCTATCATTGTGCAACATGTGTTTCCTCTTGGTCAATCCCAAAGCGCCCCTGGGTTTTCACACACGATGTTGTTGTTTAGAGCTGCATTGATAAACCAGTTTGCTTCTCCAACTCAGTGGTAACCCGGGGGTGTGGCTCATGACCTTAGTGGGTATTAGTCTCAGGTGTCTTTCTAATCTTTCCGTGGAGTTTTTCCATTGTCCACTTATCTGAAAAGGGTCTGATTAAAGTCCACAAAAAGATTCTTTCGTGGAGCACAGATTTCCTTTTAAAACAGACGTTAAACATGCAGATACATACCTGCCCCTCCATAAATAAACATACCCCAACTCTAAAGCGAGGGTGGGAGAGACTTGCAAGCGAAGAGCCAGATAACAGACTCTCAGTTCCTGGAATAAAAATACTCGTGCTGAGGAAATGGAGACTGAATTTCTGATGTCCTTGTGGCAGTCACTTGTTTGATGGAAAGTAATTTCAAAGGAATCATTCTTAAGAACAAACCCGCAATTATAATTAATTAATTAATTAATTAATTAATGACCGAGCCTTCCACTTCCAGGATGCCTTTTATCCCAGCACACCTCAAAACCAAACAGCCCCAGCCTGTGCCCAGGGCTTCCCTTGGCCCCTGAGGGGAATGCAGCCTTTGTTGAGTGGCCCGGCAGTCTGTCCCGGCTGAGCCCTGGAAAGGCTGGATTCTGTGTGTCTGCGACCTGCAGAGGGAACAGAGGAGAACAGGAAATGTGCCATGGGTTGTCTAATATGCTTGATGAATCTTTTGCTTTGTCTGCCAAAGTAAAGGTTAGGAAGGAATAAAGATAGTCTGGGAGCAGGGAGCCATGTGCTGCTGGCTGGCAACCAGATTTAAAGGGGACTCAGAAATACAATGGCAGCCTCTGAAGGGACTTGAGTCCCCCTTGGTCCAAGCCATTAATTTTACATGTGAGAAGGACTGAGGCCTGTAGGGTAGGGGGTATGGCTGGGGACGTCGTGGGTTAGTGGCAAAGCCAGGGCGGGGATCTTTCTGCCACATAGCACTGTTATCATTGAGTCCAATCTTGATGGAGTCCTGTACCACACTTCTCTTTCATAATAGTGATAATGGGGCTGCCCAGTTTACATAGCCCTTTGTTGTTCTTTATTTAGCCCACAACAACAACTGTTTTTTTTTAGCTATCCCTTCTTTTTAAAAAATTTTAATTAATTAATTAATTTATTGATTGATGTATAGTCAGTTTACAGTGTGATAGTTTCTGGTATACAGCATAGTGATTCAGTTATATATATAAAAATTATAAATATATACTCAGCTTTATATATATATGTAAATATATATTCCTTTTCATTATAGGCTATTATTACAAGATACTGAATATAGTTCCCTGTGCTTTACAGTAGGACCTTGTGGTTTATCTATTTTATATATAGTAGTATCTACAAATCCCGAACTCCCAATTTATCCATCCCCTTCCCTCTCTGGTAACCATAATTTGTTTTCTGTGTCTGTGAGTCTGTTTTATAATAAGTTCATCTGTGTCTTTTTTTTTTTATTCCACATATAAGATATGGTATTTTTCTTTCTCTTTCTGGCTGATTTCACTTAGAATGACTATCTCCATGTCCATTGATGTTGCTGCAAATGGCATTATTTTGTTCTTTTTTATGGCTGAGTAGTATTGCATTCTATACCACAACTCCTTTATCCTGTCATCTGTCAGTGGACATTTAGGTTGCTTCCATGTATTGGCTATTGTGAATACTGCTGCTATGAACATTGGGGTGCATATATCTTTTGAATTAGAGTTCCCTCCAGATCCATGCCCAAGAGTGGGATTGCTGGATCATATGGTAGTCTATTTTTAGTTTTTTAAGGAATCTCCATACTGTTTTCTGTAATGGCTGCACCAAACGATATTCCCACCAACAGTATGGGAGGGTTCCCTTTTCTCCATACCCTCTCCAGCACTTATTACTTGTGGACTTTGTAGCGATGGCCATTCTGACTGGTGTGAGGTGATACCTCATTGTAGTTTTGATTTACATAGAAATTTCTATTTCTAAACCTAACATGAATAACTTCTTAAAACTACACACCTCTAATTTACCAAATCACACACTCCACAATTCTCGACTTACAGTGGGCAACTGGGGGAAAAGGGTGCAGATTTCACTGCTTGCTAGGAGACATCTGTTACCACACAACAACTCTTGATGTTGCCAGGCAAGCGGTATTGTTCCCATTTTACAGATCAGGGGCTCATGGAGGTGAATGGTGCAGAGCTGATTTGCGCATACAACTAAGTCAACATAGGACTTTAGAGTTGTTGCTGCCTTGGTCCGTGCTGTTTCCACTGCTTGGAAGGTCACTGCTTGTGCTGCCTATGTCTGCTCCCCTGCCTTCGAGACGTAGATCTAGGGTTACCTCTTTCAACAACTGTTTTCTGAATTTTTCTTGCATGAGTTGGGGGCCCCTTCTATGAGGAAAACTGCCTTTTCTTGATCTCAAGATCCCCCACAGGGGCAGACAGCATGGTATCCCCACGTCAGAGCGAAGCTTGGGAGCCCCACAGTGGAAGCTGGAAGGCCCCCAGCTGGGCCCAGTCACATCCGGTCACATCTGAGTCCACTCCCATTCTTCCACTCACTACATTATACTGTACTTGTTACACTCCTTTGGGACTGCAGGCTTCTTGAAAGTGGGGAGTATGTCTTCCATCTTTCAAAGTCTAGCCTCTTTGAGGCATTTCATACATGTATGTTAACTCAGTAATGAACTTTTTAGAGTCAGGATTTTAACTCAGATCCTCCAACGCCATCACCTCCTGCCTCTTTTAGGAGTGTGAGTTGTAAAACCAGAAAGTAAGAAAAAGCCTCTCCCAGGGGTGAACCAGCCAGCCACAAAGGCAAAATCATTCCTAATCACAAATAAAATCACCTAAGACACACCATCTCTGTTTGTCTGCCTGGCAACAAAACCTCGCAAATGTCTTGTAGACTTTCCTCATTCTGTGTGCGAGATGGAAAAATTTAGTCGAGGCTTAGAGGGAATATCTTTTCAAAGTGTTCTATGGTCACTTACATCTCTGAACATGAAAGGAAGACAGAAGGGAGACATGATAAAAAAAAAAACAGAGCAAATGAGGGAACCACAGAGACTTGTTTAGACGTGTGGTGGCAAGTGGTGTTCTGTGGATGTGGCTAGTTCCTGATCATTTGTTTGGCTCAAGGTTAAGGTCGGCTGTCAGGTTTGCATTTACATGGACCCAGCTTCATATCCATCTGTAGGACGTGCAGAGACCAGGCTGCACCCCATTTCCCTAAACTCTCACAGTCATCTGCAGTGGAACTGATCACTTTCTGCTCATTTCGGGTGTGTCTGAGTGGCAGTGACTTCTTAGCCCCATGAACTTGGCCCATGAGCCATTTTACATCAGTATGTGGGAGTTTGGATTTATAGATGTTAACCTTGAGCAAAATATTCCTAGCATTGCAGCAGGACCTGGGAGGGAAGAATTGGTGGTGAGATTTGAGAGGACTTGGGAGAAGTCATCTCTTCTAGGACCATCATACAGTGATTTTCCCTGTAACTCCCGATGTGTGGCATTCCACTGGGCTTCAGAAGAGATAGTGGGTTTTTGTTTGTCTGTAAAAATGATACATGCTTTTTTAAAATTCTTGTTTTTTATTGAAGTGTAGTCGATTTACAATGTTAGTTTCAGGTGTACAGCAAAGCAATTCAGTTATACATATACATGCATACATATATGAATTTTCAGTTTCTTTTCCGTCATGGCTCATTATAAGAAATTGAATGTAGTTCTCTGTGTTATACAGTAGGTCCTTATATATATTAATACATGCTTATTATTAAAAAAACTTCATGTAACATATGAAAGTGTAAGAAAAAAGATTTAAAAAAACTAATTTCAGCACACAGATGGCCTTTGGTAAAATTTAGTGAACATTATTTCAGATACTCTCTGTATATATTGGTAAACGTATGAATGGCCAGAGTAATTTTAGAAAAATGAACTCATATGGTTTATTCTATTTTAGAAGAATCAGGTTAATTAAAAATTTAGTTGACAAATAAGAAACTAAAATAAATTCACTTTAGTTACAGGTTTTCTATAGGATTTTTAAACTTCCATCATATTCTTCTAATTTTATAATTTTTAAGGGTAGTAAAATGACCTGTAAATGCCATTTGTGGAATCACAAAAGAGGGAAGACCAACAGCAGGTCATTTGATGCAGCTTTCTGCTTTTCAACTGCAAATTGCTAAGCTAATTTTTAAACGATGTTTAAAGAACGCAAGGGATAAAGGCTCTACTGTGCTCTCAGTAGATGTCTAACATTTATTCATCCTTTTGGTCACTGAGCATTTCACCTGTGATAGGGTTTCATAATTTTTTTTTGTATTTCTATGGAGTTCAAATATTTCAACACCTAAATTTTTCTTCTCTGCATGACTTTCCAGCTAAAAGATTTGTGATTTTCACATTAGTTTCGTCCTTCTAATAACCTGAGATGTCGTCATGAAGAGGGAGTGGGTATTTTGCAGGAGAGGTTGGGTGGTGAGTGGATGAATGGGGTTCCATGTGGGTGTATCAGGTATCAGAAGAGAGCCCTGTCAACAGTTAGCTGTCATTAACTGGGAGCACAGGTGTGTTTGTGCCTTTTAAAGGCAACCGTTCATCACTGAAGCATTTCATAGGTACCCTCTTCTTTATAGTGACAGAAGAATGTTCAAAACAATCCTCAAATAAATTTTTACTATGCATGACATTTCAGAACAGGTGAGTAGTAGATCTTCAGGCAAAATTGCTGTGTCATTATCCTATGATTTGAAAGGTTACATAAAAAGGCTAGACATTTATAGAAATAAAACATAGCTTCTGTAGGGACACCAGGCAGACATTTCACAAGTGCCTAAGTTTATCAAACTATGGCCAAATAAAAGCAAAATTTTCTCATATTTTGATTTTTCCTGAGAAAAAGGACCAACAGCTAGAAGGTTTAAGTTAAGAGGTAGTCAGCGTGGTATTTCAGACTAGGAGGGGAGGGCAAGTCAACTTAAAGTTGCTTCCAAGTAGTTGCTGTATATATTGACTGACAAACTGGGAAAAGTAATAAAACACACACACACACACACACACACACACAGGCAAAAAAGAATTTTAAGACTACAGAATGAAGTTTTCTCAAATGTAGGTAATGAGACAACTATGTTGAAAGCCCTTCTTAATTTGATTTTTAAAAACAGGAAAGAATTAGGTAAGGGCAGGGGTGGTTAGGGCCTTAGAAGTGACCCCAAATGAATAGCACTGGGGACCTTAAGAGTTAGGGAATTTGAAGAAGAGAAGATAGCAGAGTAAAAAAGCAAAAGCAAATTTCAATTAAATAAGATCTGTATTGACAGAAACCTAAGTCAGTAAGTATTTATTCAGGTCCTAATCTGTAATGGCATATTTGGAAGCAATTTGGAACATTTAAAAAGTGAAAGACATGTTTGCTGCGCACACTGTACATCAAGCAACTGTCTAGTTGTCCCAGCACTTAATTGTAAGGAAGCTTCAAAGGCCCAGGCTAAAGCTGACTCATTTTTAATTTCTCAATACTTCCAGTTTATAGAGGGCTGTGGCAGGCTCTCCATCAATGTTTCTCAACCTTGGTCTTGGGAAGAATATATAGTAGTGGATTTTGTGGAATAGACTGAGCTAGAAATGAGAGGAAAAAGAAAGATGGCTGTGGCAGATCTAGTTAAAAAAGACAAGCTCTCTCACAAAGTGGATACTTAAGGGACTGTCATGGTTGAGAAGGAGCAAGAGGTCCCAGGTAATAAGAGTTGGAAAGAATGGCTGGAGAAGAAAGACAAATCCTATGAAATTTCCCATATTCTGGATTTTGCTGGTTGCATCCCCGCGGTATCTTTTAACATGTTCTTCTGACTCGTTTTTCTTATAAGGTGATAGTGGGATCTAATGGCTTTCTTAGTTTCAGGTTTGGCATTTTTGGCAAGAATACTTCATAGGGAGTGTTGTATTCTTCCTGTTATTTGTGCTGTAACAAAATGCCTTATATCAACCTTGCTTCATCATGGATGCTTAAGCTCTTGTAGCTTCTGCATCCATTGGGAGAGTTTCCCAACTGGAAAAAACAAGACATTGCTTCAATTTAAGCTAAGATTTTGAACTTGGAATTCAGCGGATAGACTTCAGGTAGTTAGTGAAGTCTCTAAAACTATATGCAAAATCTTCTCTACACGTGTTCATATGTTTACTCTTCTGAGGGGAGATTATAGGTTCCATTAACTTTTCAAAAGCACGTATAAATAGAAAAAGTTAGGATCCAACAATGTAAAACTTTAAAGGTTCCCTCTTTCTCTTGGCCTCTAGTTACCAATGAAATGTTTAGGATTTTCATGTTTTATAGGAACAAACTATTGGACTTTGAAATGAACCACATTTATCATCTGTTTCCTGCCCATCATTGTACAGATAGGAAACAAAAGAAGGGAAATACTTCTGGCAAGAGCTCACGGCCGGTTAATAGCGCAGCCAGGACTGGCAGCAGGATCCGTCACATTTCAGAACAGCTCCTTATTCTCGCTGCTTTGTTATTTACAAATGGCTAGCCATGTTTAATTATTTATAGTACTTTTTTTCTCCAGCTCCCAAACTTAATTCACTTAATTATTTTATTGACAGTTTACTTTAGAGGTGCTTTGATTCTGTGACTAGAGACTAATAAGACATGGTTCCTGTCTTCAAAGGTCCTTCAGTCTAGGCGGGGGTTGGTTTTTTGTGTTTTGTTTTTGTTTTTTTCCAAATTCAGTTCTCTGCCAAATGACACAACCTGTTATGTGAGGGTCTGCTCTGGGGTGCTTAGGAGCAGTTACCGATCTCTACGCATCCGTACCTTGAACTCAGAGTTGCTGGTTCTCAGGGAGACAGGGCAATTCACCTACTACCGGCAGAGAAAGCCTCATTTTCCTGTTTGTTGGGATCTTTTCACCTTTTAGCAATTAAGTCATCATCATTTGAGTGACATATCTGTCATTGAATACCTTTGTGTGGAGCTTGGGAAGAATGGGTCAGCCTTTCATATGATGCTGGGAGTTGAACCCTGTTAATCAGTATCACCTTCAAGAAAGGAGGCCTGGCTCCTTCCTTTTTCTAACTTCCTTTTCCAAACCTGTCAGAGAAGGTAAAAGCTGTGCTAGCCAGATAACTTCTTTGAGAGGAGTGCCAGGACAGTCTGGTTTAAACCTGGCTTCAGAAAGATCCTGAAGTCCTCCTGCACTACCTTTGGGACACCCCCAGGACTGCTGGGGTGATTTTGTTCAGTTAAGGCCACAGAAGGAAAACAGGTCCTCGCTGGTGGGGGAGGGGCTGCTAATGCAAGACCAAAATGATTTCACTCTTCTTTTTTCTCCTTATTATCATCTTAATTTGGAGAACATGATAGGTAATCAAATAAATCCCTTACACAGAGGCTGTTGTCACTGATGATCCCTGAACCCACACTCTAGCTTTAGTGCCTACTGGGTGTGACTGTCTTTTGCCATTTAAGGAGATGTTTTGAGTAACTGTGGAGCTGGTTTGTTGAGCCATCATCTCATGCAGTTTTCTAAAATCTTTTTTTTAAATTGAAGTATAGTTGACTTACAGTATTATATTAGTTTCAGGTGTACAACATAGTGGTATGATTTTTTGGTAGATTATGCACCATACAAAGTTATTATAATATTGTTGACTATGTTCCCTGTGCTCTACATTACATCCCTGTGACTGATTTTCTAACCAGTAATTTGTGCCTCTTACTCCTCTTCACACGCTTCGCCCATCCTCTGATTCCTCTCCCCTCTGGCAACCGCCAGCTTGTTCTCTGTGTCGGTGAGCTTATGTTTTGTTATGTTTATTTGTTTGTTTGTTAGATTCCACATATAAGTAAAAACATACAATATTTTTCTTCCTGTCCGACTTATTTCACTGAGCAAAATACCCTCTGGGTCCATCCATGTTGTGGTAAATGGGAGGATTTCATTCTTTTTTTGTAGCTGGATCATATTCCATTGTGTACATGTGGCACATTTTCTTTCTTTATTCATCTGTTGATGGGCATTTAGGTTGCTTCTGTATCTTGGCTATTGTAAATAATGCCCCAGTGAACAGCGGGGTGCCTATATCTTTTCAAATTAGTGTTTTCATTTTCTTTGGATAAATACCTGGGAGTGGAATTACAGATAATACAGTAGTTCTATTTTTAATTTTTTGAAGAAACTCTACTGTTTTCCTTAGTGGCTGCACCGATTTACATTCCCACTAACAGTGCACGAGGGTTCCCTTTTCTCCACTTTCCCAGCAACACTTGTTATATCTTGTCTTTTTGATAACTGCCGTTCTAACAGGTGTGAGGTGATCTCTCACCCTGAGGCTTTGATTTGCATTTCCCTGATGATTAGTGATGCTCAGGATCTTTTCCTGTATCCGTTGGTCGTTTGTGTGTCTTTTTGGGAAAATGTCAGTTCAGGTCTTCTGCCCACTTAACTGGATTGTTTGTTTTTTGATGTTGAGTTGTATGAGTTCTTTATATGTTTCGAATATTAGCCCCTATCAGACATATCATTTGCAAATATCTTCTCCCATTCAGTTAAGTAAGTTGCCTTTTCATTTTGTTGATAGTTTTCTTCACTGTGCAAAAAAAGCTTTTTAGTTTGATGTAGTCTCATTTGTTTTTGCTTTTGTCGCTCTTGCTTGAGGAGACAGAGCCAAAAAAATATTGCTTAGACTGGTGTCAAAGAGAGTACTGCCTATGGCTTTCTTCTAAGAATTTTATGATTTTAGGTCTTGCATTTAAGCCTTTAATCCATTTGGAGTTTATTTTTGTATATGGTGTGAAAAAAAGGGTCTCATTTCATTGTTTTGTGTATGGCTGTCCAGTTATCCCAATACCACTTATTGAAGAGACTTTCCCCCAAGGCATATTCTTGCCTCCTTTGTTGTAGGTTAATTGACCATACGTGCATGGTTTATTTCTGGACTTTGTATCCTGTTCCATTGATCAGTGTGTCTATTTTTGTGCCAGAGCCATGCTGTTTTGATTACTGTAGCTTTGTAGCATAGTTTGAAGTCAAGGAGTATGATACCTCCTGCTTTGTTCTTCTTTCTCAAGATTGCTTTGGCTATTTGGGGTCTTTTGTGTTTCCATATACATTTTGGGATTATTTGTTGAAATCTTGTCTGAGTAGCTTTTACCCATTAGCCCAGTGTGGTTCCTGTTGTGGCAGGTTCAGTGTCCAGACGCCTGTGGGAGGGCCCTTACACACCAGAATTCTTCCCCATGTAGCAGTTGTTGGTGCCTGAAATTCAACCATTTATTGTGTTTGGTTCACCAAAATATTACTTCCTATTTAAAAAAAAAAGCTTAATATGTTTGCTTTTTCATTCATTCATCCATTCATTGAGCAAATATTTATTAAACACTTCATCTAAGTGACTGGAGCACAGAGAACAAGGGGGAAAGTAGGATGAGGTGAGCTGGCAGTACACACAGGTGCGGGATTGCTCCAGGATTTCTCAACCCTGCTAAGTATTTTGATCTTCAGCATGAGAGCCATGGAAAATCACTGAGAGATGTTAATCAGGGAAGTGCCATGCAGTGATCATATTTGGATTTTAAAAACGTAGCCCTGGCTGCCTTGTGGAGAATGAATGAGGGCAAGAGTAAGTGCGTGGGGATCAGCTGGGAGGCTGTTTCACCTGTTCAGAAGAAAAAGGCAATGATAGTTTATTAATTACTTTTTGTAGAAGAATGCTTTGGAGAAATGTACAAAGATATTAGAGGAGCGGCACAGCATTAATTAGTTTTCTGCCCTGAGAAAGAAGACATTGTAATAAAATTCACTCTGTCTCTGAGCTATACACCCGCTGTCTGCCCCTGGTAAGTTTTGAATGATTCATGCCTCAAGTTCCTCCTTCTTAAGATGAGCAGTACAGAAAATTCACGTAGAGAACACAGAACACTCTGGTACATTGGAAGCACTCAATAAATGTTAATTGTTGTTATTGTTGCTATAAAAAGATGACTCCAGAAGGTTATGGAGCATATTTACGTGTTCAAACTATAAGTTAAGGTATAAGTCTAAATATATACTATCTTTACATCAGTTATGTGCCTTGAGGCTTGAAGTACAGCACGGAAATTTGATTTCATGTTGAAACGTGATTTAAACACTCATGACTTTGTGTATGTCTATCTGCAGTTTTGATCTTGGTGTTTTATGAAGAAAATACATGACCCCCCCAATTTTCCTTTGTTTTAATTGTAGGCAGATATGGTAGGCAGAATAATCCCCCTCCCCAAGATATCTATCTCCTCATACCTAGAACCTGTGCATACGTATGTTACATGGCAAAGGGGAATTAAAGATGCAGACAGAATTAAGGTTGCTAGTAAGCTGGCCTTGCTTGGGAGGTTTTCTTGAATTATTCAGGTGGGTCTGATGTAATCACACGTGTCTTTTTAAAGTGGAAGAGGGAGAAGGAAGAGTCAGTCAGTGTCAGGGAGGAGATATGGTGAAGGCAGGGCTTAGAGTGATGAGGCTGCTGACTTTGAAGATGGAAGGGGGACACAAGCCAAGGAATGTGGGAAGCTCCAAAAGGCAGGGAAACGGATTCTCTTTGAGGGTCTCTAGGAAGGAACACGGTCCTGCTGAAATCTTGGTTTTAGCCTGGTGAGACTCCAGACCACACACTTACAGTCAATTACTCTATAACAAAGGAGGCAAGAATATGTCATGGGGAAAAATTCTCTTGTTTTGAGCCACTAAGTTTGTGCTAATATTTTGCATTGCCAATAAAAAAATTAATATGTGTGTGTGTGTGTGTGCACCTGTAACATACAAATAGGAACTCTAGCAGTTGATTTTTTGGCTGAAGATTAAATTAAGGTGGATAGAATATTTTTCCATGTCACTTACAAAACATATATTTTCAACACACATATGTAGCCTGGTTTTTAAAATTATTATCATAACAGCAAAGATGGTTGCAGTGACTCTTTCATAAACCCTACATTATCCAAATTATAGGCATATTTTTGATTTGCAAATTAATTTATGCAATATATCTCAGAAAATTTGAATTTAAATCACATTCACTTGAACATTTCACAAGTGATTCTGTTGGAAAGTATAAAATTACGAAAAAAACCCAAGGCTTTTCTTGAAGATCCAGGGCATACATGGGTACCATGATTAGGGTGGATGTGAATATTGGTCTTTTATTTACTCCTGAGCCCATCTTCCTCCTGATCTCACCCTCCGTCCACTTTTTGTCTCCTCCGTGGACCTTTCTCTCAGGTAGACCTGAACCATGAGTTTCTCTGTCACTAACTGCTGTTTACTGCATAGGCTTTATATCATTAAAATGAAGAGATGGTGCCATAACTGGGACACTGGGCATCACACCCGCCGTCTACTCCCATTGAACATTCTCTTCTACTTGCTGAGCTTCAGATGACATCCTGGCTTACCTTACTCTGTGGCCACAAGAGCAAACCTATTTTCCTCCTTCTTCTTATTTTGTCTGTTTCTCCTAGTGTCTTCCCTGAATTCACGAATGTAGCATCTTCTACTTTTACTATCTAAATCTAGTACATTTGATTCCACTTCTGATTACTAGCCCCCCAAATTTGTAGCCTTTATTAAAAGTGATTCAAGAGGTGGACTTCTAATATCCCCTCTTATCACCCCCTTTTCCTGTTAATCTCAGGATGGATCCAAACCAGAAAGCTCCCCGCAGCGCCAGCCACCCATGATTGCTGATGAAGCCACATGTCATCTGCTGGAAACATGAGTATCTGGCAGCCATTGTATTGACCCTGTGTTACTATGAATATGAACAGGATTAGAAATGAAATTGATACTTTCCTGATGTTTCTCCAGTCAGGACCTCTTGGTTTTATGTCTGGCGGGGTTGAACGATTCCGTGCCGGTCTTCAAACGGTAAATTTCCCAGCAACCTAGTTGCTGCGTTTAGGATGAGATGAGATGGAGAGGCTGTCCGGTTGGGCTGTCTGATCTCCGAGGCGGAGCTTTACAGGTTGATACTGCTCTGAGCAGTCACAGTGGTCCACTTCTGTTCTCAGGCTGGTAGGTTCAGAGGCACCATAACTATGAGAAGCGAAGGGATTCTCAGGAGCTGACTGACAGTAACCTAAACAAAGTGGCAGATGAATGAGCTGGAATGCAAATTTATTCATTTACCACTGAGAAATGATCCACTCTGCAGCACCTTCTTTGCTGTATCTGAGTATCGACGAAATTGTGATGTGGAGGTTGTTCAGCAAAACGGACCCAGAAGAGAGATGTGGCGTCAATAATGAAGCCTCGGGAACTGCTCTGACTTTCCATGTGCTAATGTGATTGGGTTCAGCGCTGTTCTTACCAAGATTAGGCTGGATGTAAGCACCATCAAGTTGCTTTTAGGGCTCGCCTTCCTCAGAACTCCATGACAGGCACATTATTTCTCTAACTATTTGTGCCTTTGCTTGGACTAGAGATACTGTATTGTCAAACTTGATGGTATCAGGCATTTGGAGTATAGAAGACTTGAATTTGTTCAAATTTTAACTTGACTGTTCACTAACTGTACTATGCTGAGCGAGTTCACTTCTGTAGACCTTGGTTCACTTATTAGTAAAATGGGACTAATACTGTTACAGGCCTGTTTTGAGGACTGAGTGAGATAATTCGAGTAAAGCACTTAGCACAGTGTCTGAGGCATAATATTCAATAGATCTTTAATTGACTACAAGAAGCATTATTCTTTCTACTTACTGGCCATGTGGGGGGCATTGTGGCTTCGGCACATATCGAACCATTTTGATTATGTGTTGGGTGTACTATGTCAACTCTGAGAGCTTTGCAAGAGCCTCCCTGCTGCTTTCTCTGCTGAGCCCATAACTTGACTACATGGATTTGGATAGATTGAGCCCCGAGAGGAACCTCTCTCTAGGTCTTCTGGGTCAATACAGTTAAGTTGCTTCTCCAAGGGCCACACATATCAAGTAGGTACATACAGTCCTCCCCAGGGTGACTCTCAAGCACCTGCTAGGCCCCCTGGGCCACCATAAGGAGCTGTAATATCTGAGATTTTTGCCCCTGGTTTAGAAGAAAGGCCTTCTTAATTTTGTGTGTGTGTGTGTGTGTGTGTATGTGGTTCTTTAGAGAAAGATACAGACAAAGGGGCCCCAAACTTGGTCTGTTTCTAGGAAATAAGAAGAGAACCTTTAGCCTCAGATGTTTTCTCCTGGTACCAGTAGTATGCACAACCTGATTGTTACATTGTTCTAGACAGAGAGGGAGTGGTGGTGGTGAGGAAGGAGGAGAAGATGAAGGAGGGGGAGGAAGAGGAAGAGGAAGAGGAGGAGAAGAGGGAAAGAGTGGGAGGACCAAGAAAACATGTTCAGAAACTTTGCTTCTTGTGACACCACCTTAATTAGGATATTTAGAAACACTGGCAAATTAAATGTTTTCTTATGTGCATGTAACTGATGGCCTGTGTCTTAAAAGCATCACCTGAGAAAACCCTCCAAATGTGATGCTCAACCTGAAATGATAATTCAATTAAATAGACCTTTTCAATGTTGCCAAATAGGGTGGTTCCCATTTGAACTGAGTGCGTGGGTTGTTCCCATGAAGCTTGTGAATCATGCATGAACACACTGGCCAGGTATTTCTAGCCAGACAAATAGCCAAAGGATTCATTTCCTATAAAAGACATTTGATTACAGTGTCGAAACAATGCTCTCAGGCTTGCTTGCACTGATCCTAACCCACGGCACTGTCTTATGGATGCTGGTTACTTCGACCTACAAAGTCTTCCTAGCAAGGATGGCCCTCCTCCCTTCTCATCCGGACACTTCCCTTTTCTCCTGAATCTTAAATTTCTTTCTCCCTCCCCCTCATTTGGAAAGGGCATTTGCTATTAAAATGATTTTTTTTATTGTCAAAACTTTTAATATTAAATCAAAATGAACAGAACAGAATTAGGGTAAACCTCCTAGGTCAACGAGTAAGATACTTTTCCCTGCTGTTTGATAAATGGAAATTACAGGAATTAATAACAATGTACAGTTATTAGCTTATAAAGAACTTAAAGGTCTTATTGATGGCATCTAATTACTTTTAAAAGACACCAGAGAGAAGTTAGAGAATGTCATTTTGGGTGTCATTTCCTATTTACAGATGCAGAAGACTAGATACAATAAGGTGAGTAATATCAGGGACTGTAAGGGAAACTAAAGATGTTAGATCAAAAAGATCCCTGGTGAGTACCCAGAGTCCAAGCACAGAGAAGTCAAATGATGCTCCTAAGAACTAGACCTGAAGGTTGCTGACTTGTGGTCCAGGGTTGTTTCCATCTGACCCAACTCCACTGCTGTCTACTATAGATGTGATGAGGAGTGAGAAGTAGAAGAAAGAGCACTGGATTCTCTCACTGACTGGGCAGTGATGGACCAGTCACCTTTCTCTCTGAGTTGCAGTTTTTCTATCTCTGATATGAAAAAGGCTATTAGATGCTACCATAATACCTTTCTGATTTTCAAAGAGATATTCACACTCTCATGTTCATTGTGGCACTGTTCTCAATGGCCAAGAGAAACAACCACCTCTGTTCATTGATGGATGAATGGATAAAAAAGAAACACACACACACACAGACACACACACACGCACAATGGAATATTATTCAACATTAAAAAAGAATGAAATCCTTCAATATGCAACAACATGGTTGAAACATTACACTGAGTAAAATAAGCCAATCACAGGACAAATACTGCATGATTCCATTTACATGAAACATCTTAAATAATCAGAGTTATGGAAGAAAATAGAATAGTGGTTGCCAGGGGCTTGGAAGAAGGGAAAAGGGAACAAGTATAAAATTTCAGTTATTCAGGATAAATATGTCCTAGGGACCTGCTGTACAGCATTGTGCCTGTGGATACAAAACTGTATTGTTCACTCAAAAATCTGTAAAGAGGGTAGATCGCATGTTAAGTGTTCTTACCACAGTCAAATAAAATTTAAAATAAACTTACTTAATCTATGAATTTCTGGACAAAGAGAATGATCAGTACTAATAGCATGAAGATTCCCTGTGTGGTTTCTCACTAGAAGCAGTGACAAGCAAGCTGGAGAAAGGTGCTCTGATTGATTGAAAATAATCTGTGGCTACTGTGAATTGCTTCCATTCTTGGAGACTGATTATATAATGTATCAGGTGCTATTTTGACTTTCTTGAGGAAATCCAAGTGCTTAAAATTTGATCTTATTATTGTGTGGCATTGAGTGAGCCACTTAACTTCTCTACCTGTTGGTCTCTTTATCTGTTTTGGTTTTTGATTTTTAAAAAAATGTTTATTTTTTAAATTTATTTTTATTTTTTATACAATTTTGAAAGATTACTTTCCATTTACAGTTCTTATGACAACCTATGGAATGGGAGAAAATTTTTGCAGATGAAACCGACAAAGGCTTGATCTCCAGAATACGTAAGCAGCTCATACAACTTAACGAGAAGCAAACAACCCCATCGAAAAATGGCCAGAAGACCTAAACAAGCAATTCTCCAAGGAAGAAATACAAATGATCAATAGGCACATGAAAAAATGCTCAATATCACTAATTATCAGAGAAATGCAAATCAAAAGTACAATGAGGTATCACCTCGCACCAGTCAGAATGGCCGTCATTCAAAAGTCCACAAACGACAAATGCTGGAGAGCCTGTGGAGAAAGGGGAACCCTCCTTCACTGCTGGTGGGAATGCAGGTTGGTGCAGCCACTGTGGAAAACAGTGTGGAGATTCCTCGGAATATTGGTTTCTTTATCTTCTAAATGGGGATAGTCATAGTAGCTACTTCATGGGGGTGTGAGGATTAAATTAGTAACACTTTTAACATATTTATTATTGATTAACTCCACCTTATGAACAGGTGGATAGAGATGTGGAGGAAGAACTATCTGCAAGTGTGGTCTTCTGCCAAGTTAGTGTCAGAACCTAAAAGAAAGCTTCAAAAAGGCATCAAGTCATTCAGATCTTTAAACCAAAAGACACTTGTTAGTTAGAAAGCAGTGGTTTTTAGTTCAGCCCACGTGCTTCAGCTGAGAATTTTGTTAAAGTTTGAATTTTCGGGTCCCACACCTGGAGATGCCAATGCAGGAGGTCTGTGGTTAGGCCCCAGAATCTGAATTTTACAAGCTCCCCAGGGGATTTGGGTGTAGGTGGTTTCTGGGTCAACTAGAAGAATCCTGGTAGAAAATAATATAAGGGGTTTCCACTAACCCAAATCCTGGGGGAAAATTTGAAGGCTGCTTCTTCTAAGTAGAAATTTTTGTTAGTAATGACAATATTGATAATAATAACTAACATTTATTGAATACATGCTGTTTTCCAAATACTCCTCTAAGTGCTTTACACACATTTGTTTATGTAATTCTCAGAATGATCCTGGTGGTAGGTAGTTCTAAATATCCCCATTTCACAGATGGGGAGAGTGAGGCCCAGCAAGGTTCAATTAACAGCTTGAAGTCTCACAGTGAGAATGCAGAGATGGAATTTGAACTCAGGCTCCAGAGAACATGCTGTTTCCTGATTCCTGGTTATCTTCTGAGCTGTGCTAAAATTAAACTTGTATTGAATCTGTTTCCCTCTCCATCAGTCAGTCCCCTTTCTACTGCAGTGACTGGCCTATGGTAAACTATGTTTAAAAAAGAAAAAAAAACCAAAAAACAAAAACAACCCTTTAACTACCTCCTGTGGCTATGTAGGATACTGATTTAGCTTCACAGTAAAAATCCAGACTCCTTATTGCCTTTAAAAGGCTTAACCATTCATATACAAGGTCCAGCAGATCGTCTTACCTTCCCTGTTAGCCTTGGAGTGGTCAGACCTCCTCTTTACTATGCAGTTTATAGCCATTTATTTTGATTGTAAAACGCATGTGAGATACTTTGCTCTGAGCAGGAGGAGGATGTCCTGTTTCTGGGATAAACTGACAATGGCATTACTTCAGCAGCCTAAGGTTTGCCTGAGTCCAGCAAGGTTCCTAAACCCTGAATCTTGTTGAAATCAAACCTCACAGCATACTGAGCAGCTCTGACTACCATTTGGTTTCCCAGGTAGTGTTGATGGTTTGTATGGGGTTCACCGGGGGCCATCCTTGAACCACACACAGAGGAAGAAGGTTTGGAAGGAAATGGCGTATGCTTGGCTTTCAGTTTAGGAAATAAAAGCTCCTTTCTGCGCAGCACTTTACAGCTTATAAAACCCTTGCACCATCCTTATCCCATCAGGGCCCAAGTTGTTATGTCCCTTTTATTCAAGGACATACACACAAGCTGGGCTGAGACTCTGTCCTGGGGTTTCTGAGTCCAAACCCCATACGCTTCCCACATTTCCATCCTTCGGTCTGAGATAGTATGCGAGTAAGTGCTGACCGGGGTAATCTGAGCACTCAGAGGAAAAAGAGATTATTGATAGAAAAGAGGTCGGTCTGGGAGTTCTGCATTCCATTTGCTTAGTATAAGTTGCTACTTGCCTGGAGGAAGTGGATGGCTGTACTGTGAGCTAAACAGTGCTTTCGTCTTTGATGTGGGATCAGCCATCAACTGCTATCTGATACATACACTAAGACTTCAAAAATGCTTTATTGAGTAAAATTGTGGGCTTGATCACAGGAGATTGTGTTCTGTTCTGTTGATCCCCCAAGCCAAACACGATTAATACTCGAAAATCATGACTAGAGAACTCAATTCATGGAGAAAGAATTTTAACGTGAGATAATAATAACATAATTAGGTCTAGGGCTTATAGAAGAATAACACCTGTGTAGTACTTTTCAGTGTACAAAACAGCATTACCTAAACAATTTCATTTGATCTTCATAACAACCCTGTGAAGTAGGCATGAGCCTTGTTTAACAACAGGGAAATTAAATTTGATGATGGCTAAGTGTTTTGCCCAGAAGTGGCAAATTTAGGGCTGCAGGACTTTTACCTTCACGTTCTGTGTTTGGCTTGGGCTTACTTACTAAAACCTCTGGAAATGCCAAGCAGTTTTTGGAGGGATAGGTACCTAAATGGGGCTTTCTCACGCTGGGACTGCCTTGTGCTTGCAAACAGCAATTACTCATGGTTACTTTTCTGCAAAGTTTGTGGCTATCAAGTTCATTTCTCTCTGATGGGCAGATTGACGCAGGCACCTAAGGTATTTTTTTCCTGGCCACCTGTCACGGGGAGATAGAGGAGCAGGGTTATGTCTTGAGAGTTCCAGCTACATGTCCCTTGTCAAAGAATCAGAATCAAATCCCCTTCCCTAAAGAACAGAAAGAGAAATAGCAAGCATTTAACGAAAGGGTCCAGGCTATTTCTTCAAAATGCTCTAGACTCACTCCCCACAACGATTCCTGATTCTTGATGTAAGTATCTGGAAAGCCTGATGGTTCACAAAGTGTTGGAGAATGTGGACGTCTTTTTAAAAATATCTTGGGGAAAGAGAAGTGTATACGTGTGGATCAACAGTAATTGAGACAACAGAATTCAGCAGGATTCAGACTCATGACTGTTCAAAGAAATTAAGTATTAAAGAGCATTTTCTCTGTTCATGCTGTTCCCACATGGGCTTTTTTCTAGAGCCAAAGAAGGAGTTTAGAAGGGACGGTTGTAGCTTTTCCCCTTCATGTGTCATGGCCAAAAAAAATTCTCGAACTTGTCTGACTGGCTCTAATGAGGAACGTAAGTCAACAAGGCCTGAATAAACACAAGAGAAACCTGCCCATCACCTGTGGAATCAGGTAATGTAGGTCACCTTCTTGTGCACTTACACATCACTGCTGACCCTCTGATACATGGGAAATGCGCTTCCATTAAAGTGTCATTTATTATCACGTTGGCAGCAGCGACTCAGGACAGAAGCAGAATAAAAGATAGTCTATCTAGCGATGGGGACCCCATGTAGTAGCAAGAAACTAAGTACCTTAAGGGCCTGGGGAGTTCTTAAACCTTTCTGGCCGGAGCAAGTACTGGCCTTTCTTTCATGAATGAGGGTCCTTTTTTTTTTTATCACCTTGGGATGTCAGAGTTTGGCAGTTCTGGTGATGAAGCAAGGCTGCACATGCTCGTAAGAAGAAATGACTTTCCCATCCTTGATCTCCTCGGTGATGGTGCAGATTTTCACCAGAATTCGGGGCAGCATTCTGCAGTCACCACAGGACCCCTGTATCCCATGGGGGGCTGAGGATGATGTGCGAACTGGGGCTGTGCATTCCGTGGCTCTGGCCTTACTGGATGTGCAAGTGGAAGGCTCACATTTGGTGGCACATGGGTGACAGGGAAGCCTAGGGGGAAAAAAACTGCAGAATTTTACCTGTGATTGAGGGAAGGCAACAATGACTATGGAGAAAAATGGCAGTGGTTCGTTTTTCAACATGTGTCACTCAAAACAAGTGCTTCCTAATGCTTGTTCATTCATCTTGTACCTTAGTGGAAGGAAAAAAATCAGACCTGATCCATGGGAAAGCTGCATCCGAGGTTTAGAAGGACTAGGTTATGTAAGCTGCCATTATAGCCAATGCCATAGCATTGGACGAACACGCCGGGGGTCAGAGGCTGGGATGGAGCCCAGCTCTGTCATTTGCCAGCTGGTGACCTCACAGAAGTCAGTTAACCCTCCCAAGCTTTAGTTTTTCATCTGCAGAATGGATTAAGGGGGACTCAACAGTGATAAGGGACAAGTTCAAGAGCTTAACTATCTGAGGAGGGAAGCTAAACAGGTGTTGTTCTTCATCAGATAATTAGTCATAATACTTCTGGTGGCCTGATTCCCATCTAGGGAAGAGTCCTCAGCACTTCATCAGAAGCCCTTGAAGTGCCTCCGTGCACCTAAAAATGAATAATCCTTAGAGAATTGGAGTTAGGAGTTAATAGTAAGAACTCTTTTTAGAAAACAGCATCTTTCTTTGATGATTCAAGGCACTTTGGAATATTGTAGCTCCTCTGGGCGATCGCACAGGTTAACAGTGTGCGAACAGAGTTCACTAAGTGTTTTGGGGAGGGAAACAATTAGTGGGGAGCAGACCTAGTTAGCAATTGTAACTAGGTCTGCATTTGAAGTGTTAGTTTGGTCTGAGTTGCTTCAAAGAGCTTCTGCTCTATTCCTTATGGATTGGTAACTTATTATTTCAAAAAATACAACTTCCATAAAAAAAAATGCTGAAACACATATGTACACATTGTTGGCCTCTAAGGACAAGTGGCTGGAAAAGGTTAAGGGTTTAAGCCTGAGCAGAACGTCCTCCAAAGACAGCAGGGTTTTCTCGTTCAGTCTCATGGAAGTCAGAAGTTCATGTCAGTGGGGGGAAATCTGTAAATCACCAGGAATGTTCATCTTTGGGGAAACCATTCTTTTCCTAGTAATTTTTAAAACTCTAAGAAGCTAGCCAACCTATAAGGGGTTAATCTGGAGCACTGGTTATTAAAAACATCTCGGATCAGCTAACCCGTCCAGTTTGGTCTAGGTTATGATTGTAGGTGTCCAAACGACACGGCTTGCGAGGCCCTTCCAGCCTCTTCCAGCCGCAGCTCCCCCTCACTGGCAAGAAGCACCAGCACTTGTCCCCTGTTGTCAGTACATACATGTGCGTGCTTGAGCCTCTGTCTCATAGAAGCTGCTTTTATTTTACGTACTTGCCATCCGAGCTCTCCAGAAGACTGCGGTATGTTCTAATCTCACACTCCAGCCGGGACCTGACGTCCAGCAGAATCTCATATTCTTGGTTTTGTCTTTCCAGGGCACCCCGGATCTCTGCCAGCTGAGCCTCTAGGTAATCGATCAGACACTGGATCTGGGCCAACAAGGCTGAGTAGCGGGCCTCCGTCTCTGCCAGGGCACGTTCCTGGGAGTCTCTCTGCCATGGAGGAGGAAAGGGGGATTTATAACAATGACTCCTTTAAGCCCAGATCACTTGTGATCTGTATCATATGAAACAATGGTTTCTTTGTGACAGGTACTAATGAATCTCCAAACCCTCTTATTGCTTCCTAACCAAATAAATCCAAAAATAAAATTACCAACTATGCTAAAGCTTGCTTTCTTTATCCTCTTTTTTGGGCATCTCTTTAAATATTTACTTCTGTTCCTCTTTCTCAGTCACCCGATCATCTCCTATCACACTGTCCTACCTATGACAGAAAGAAACATTCCAACTTATTTCACATCTAGTCATTAAAAACACAGTACCACGGCACCTCATTCTACGAGTATTTGTACCTTAAAAAGGAAGTGAGTAGCATTTAGCCATAAACAATTCTCTCACTGGATCGATTCCTTTATAGGTAACCTATGAGAGTTGAAACTTTGATGTTTAAAGTTCTTTCCTGATCTATCATTCTATAAGCCAATGGTTGGAATTTTAGGTTTCAGTAACCTGTAACTTGCATGATTATTCCAATTTTTATAGATGAGAAAACTGGGATTCAAGAGGTTAAATGCGTTGCCTATGGTCATGTGACTAGCTGGTGGCAAAGCGAGCTTTGGGGCAAGGTCTTCCTATTAACCTTTGTATCAGAGCATTTAAATAGTTGCCTGCCTTAGGGAGGCAGCAGAATGAGGCAGAAGTGGTCCCAGCTTTGTAACCTGCCTTCTGGCTCAGACTCTTAACTTCTTTTGTGACTTTTGACAAGTTACTTAATGCCTCAGGAGCTCCATGTCTCCATCTATAAAATGGGTGAGATGAAACTTATCTTGGGATCTGACTTGGGAAAATCACCTTAGCTCTCTGAGCCTCATCTGTAAAATTGACTTAGTAGTTATGCCATCTCCCTCATAGGATTGTTTTATCAATTTGGTAGTTTGTAGAAATGTTTTGTATATGTCTCATAGTGTCTCCCAAAGTGTCTCCCAAAGTGTACTCCATGCATTATCACTGCCGTGGATGCTCTTAAAAGGAGGAGTCCACAGCCATATGAGTCTTAAGTGCTGACTACCATGTGTCCCCTTCTTGGAGATTCACGGTGAACATCAGCTTTCTGAAGGCCTGTAGGAAGGTACCCTGTTTAACCTTTGTTTAATCCAGCATTTCTCAGGCTTATTTGACCACAAAGTCCTTTTTTTGACCATAGACACTTTAACAAACAGAGGGGCACACTTTGGGAAACATTGTAGCACATATGTGTCAGGGGCTACTGCCATCACTGCTGTGCTAGGTGTGGTCAGTGTGTTGGGTACCACTCTGTGCTGGGCCTGCAGTTCAATCTCTAGAGCGTTCATGGTGCGTCTCAGTTCAATGATCTCCTTCTGGGAGCACTGCTGCTGTTGGGTTCTGGTCACCACCTGCTGGTTCAGTGCCTCCATCTGAAACACAAGGACCATGGAGATCATGGAGAACTTGACTATGATTCAAGGCCCCTGGAAATGCAATGTCAACTTTTTGTTTTTGACTTGTCTACCCTCCCCACCTGCGTGTTGAACCACTCTTCCACATCTTTGCGGTTTGTCTCCATGATGGATTCATACTGACATCTCATTTCTTGTAGGACCCGGTTTAGGTCAACAGAGGGGGTGGTGGTCACTTCGATGTTGAGCCTGTCCCCAAGCTGGCTCTGTAAGGAATTGATTTCCTATGAAAAGAAAAATAGTGTGAAGTCCCTTGGTGAACAGATGTCCCCACCTTGTGTTCTTGTTTTAATCTAACAGTGATAATTTAGCTTAATTGCATCTGAAATACAGCCCATGATAAAGGAATACATGATTTATAGGTGCTATTAAGATGCTATAAAATGGCTTAAGGCCATTTCAGATATGACTGTGTGTTCAAATATGTGCATTGTGAAAAGGAATGGACTAGCAAGACCAGTATATTAAAGAATTTAGATCATTTCCAGGGGTAGTGGGTGAAGTGGCATACAGGTGGAATTCATAATGAAAGACCATGATCTCTTGATGCCAACATGCATTTATGCCAGTACTGACTTAGACCAATAGCGGCAGAAGTCTGTGCAGGGATGCCAACAAAATGATGGGAAACCTGTGAGCTCAGGGAAATTGGGTTGCTTCCTTCTCCTGGAAAAGCTGAGGAGGACAGTGGGGCCTTCCAATATTGTGTTCTAGGCCATGGATTTGAAACACATTGAACCAGTGGTACTAGCGGTGGGTATAATCACGGTTGCTATTTTTTGAGGCTTAGCTTGTAATGTCCCTCTTGGGCTTTCTCTAACCTCTTCATGGTTGTTTTTGAGGCAAAGGAGCTCCTCCTTCAGAGACTGGACTTGAGTCTCCAGGTCCGCCTTGCCCAGGGTCAGTGCATCCAGGATCTGCTGTAGGCTGTTGGCATCTGCCTCCACTAGCTGACGTAGGGACACCTCAGCTTCACACCTTTAAAAATGAGACACGGAAAGACATTAAGATGTAGATGATGTCAGTCACGCCAAGCAGAACTCTCCAGCACTTTCCTCTGGGCTTCTCATTTCCTGTATTTCTAGTGCAGGTTTTTTTTTCTCTTTAGAGGTGAAGCCATTTGAAAAATATCACTACTTCATTATGATTCCTAAATTTGCCAGAATGATGCTGCCTTGCCGCTGAGATGAAGGCGTTTATCCTCCTTCCCCTGCCCCCTAGGGGCAGTGCAGTGGAAGTGGAAAGAGCAAGGAGTTAAAACTTAGCAAGCGTGGGTCCAAGTTCTGGCTCTGTCTTGTATGGTAGTATGCCTTTGGGTAAGTAGCTGAACCCCATTAAACCTCAGTG